CTGGATTCGTGATTTACAACTGCCGATTCATATGGAGAATCGCCTGAAACAAAATATAATTCAACTGATCATTGACGAAATGACCAAAGATTCAAAAAAACCAACAAATGATTTAAATAAAGTTAATTCATCTTCAGCAGCAATAACTTTTACTGAAAAACCAAAAGTTAAACGTCGAAAATTATTTAATTACGATGATAATAATATGGATGATTCAAATGAATCAACAACACTTGATCCGGCAGTTGAATTAGCTGCTTATTTAAACGATCCAGTACGGACGAAATTTTCTGATTACTGGTTTCATTCTCAATTAAATATGCTTAAAAAGATGGTTATACGTGTATTCTCAGTCCAGGCATCATCAGCACCTATTGAACGTGCATTCTCACATGCAGGACTGATACTGTCGCAAAGAAGAACAAGCATGAACGAGCATTTATTTCGAGATTTGGTTTTTTTACGTGTGAATCAAAAGCTATTATAAATTATTTGTATTAAATTTACTGTGTGTATGATTTGTTCTTGTCAGATTCTATTGTTGGTTTTCTATTAAATTCAAACTTGTTAATTTCTTCTTCTAAAAATGTAACGTTTTGTGACCGGTGATTTTTTTCAAGCTAATAAAAGTTTTTAACCTTCGTATAGATCTCTCTTCTACTACTGGTGATTCATTACTGCAGAGAAATATTACAAAAAAGAATTTTATAGAGAAACGAATTTGAATTTACTTTGTTTCAGCTTTCTATTTAATAAAAATGAAATAGGCAACATTTACAATAAAATATAACAAAATTAATTGAATAGCTAAAAGAAGTGGAAGATTACAATAAAAATAGAACAAAATAGGAAAGAATAAATAATAATATGAATAGTATAATAAAATATGATAAAAAATCGATAAAACAAATTAACAGAATAAAATGAAGTACGATGAAACGAGAACAAAATGACATAGCATTAAAATAAAAATAGAAAAAATATAAAATAAATAAATTTTAAAAAGATACCATATAATCTTTACTTATTGTTGATAAAATACATTCTCTAATACCATCTAAAACAAGAAAAAGAAAATATAGAGAGTCAATCACACTGAATCAATTCAAGGTAAATTAAACCGAATAATTGTCGTTTTCACGTAGAAACACCAATTGTATTTCTTAATTCACTTTGAATTAAGTCAGTATGACTGACCCCAAGGGAAAAAAACAAAATTAAAAAGAAAGAAAAATAAAAGTAGTCGCTACCTCCACTGATTAAAACTGTACACTTATTGGTGTGTTTAAACAGTGTTCAGTGTCCAAATGAGGGCGCTATGATTCAAACGAAGAAGAACTGATTAAAAATAAAATGATTAAAACTGAAATAGATCGACATGCAATAAAATACGAAGTTCAATCAGTAATTATGAATGAATATTTACAAGAGTTTCGTTTCTCACTAAATTATATGCTTAGAATAAATATATTAAATTAAAAGAAACGAAATGAAAGCTAGAGATAATGAGGAGCAGAGAGCAACGATGAAGGAAAAAACTGGGATGCCCATAAAATATTTAGAAAAACATATGTGGTGCTCAACATTTAGAAATAAATAAGACAAAGTGTGCCAAAATCGATCATCACTGGAAAAGAGCTATCAAATATTGAAGATTTCATATATTTACCTACTTTTTATTAGCTAGTGAAGTAACTTAAGACAGATGTAGTGCACATTTGAGCATCGGAGAGATTTCACTTACAACTTTTCCGTTACTTTGAAATTAGTTTAGTTTTAGAAAAATGTAAAACAGATAGCTTTGAAAGGTAAATATGCTATATAGAAGTCTTTTTTGCATTAGAGATTGGATGCTTTTTTTCTCAAGTCTTTTTCAGTTCTAACCACTTAGATTAAAACTGGAAAAAAATGTCCTAAGTACTTTGAATAAATTTTTCTTCAGTTTTAATACGCATTCCAGTGGCTAAGAATAGTTGATTAAACAATGAAAAAAATCCTTTCCTATAATATATCTTTTTTTTACAGAGTAGAAATCCGTATGATCTTATAAAAAGAAAAAGTAATCAAAATGAGAAACCCACCGAGTAATGTTCTCGAAAAGGGTAGATCGAGAGCAGCGGTACTAAGTACATTTGTACTTAGTACCGTACTAAGTACAATCGTACTGTAGTACGGCGTACTTAGTACATTGTACTTAAGTACATTGTACTTAAGTAAAAGCACAAAATACAATTTTTAAGTACACAGTATTTGTACTGGTACTTAAAAAAAAAGGACTGGTGCTTAATATTTCCACGTACTGAGTACGAAAAGTACTAAGTATTGTACTAAGTATCCAAGGTCTGATTGGAAACGAAACTAAAATCTTAGGAAAAAAGATTATCAATCTAGTAAAAAATATTAGGCATGATCTTC